TTAATGAAAGAGGGGCAACTCACCCCATTACAACCATATAGAGAGTATTGTACTGATGTGCTTTGAAACCACATGCATACATACATACATACATACATACATACATACATACATACATACATACATACATACATACATACATACATACATACATACATACATACATACATACATACATACATACATACAAGGCATTTAATTAAAGAGGGGCAACTCACCCCATTACAACCATATAGAGAGTATTGTGCTGATGTGCCATGAAACCACATACATACATACATACATACATACATACATACATACATACATACATACATACATACATACATACATACATACATACATACATACATACATACATACATACATACATACATACATACATATATACAAGACATTTAATTAAAGAGGGGCAACACACCCCATTACAACCATATAGTGAGTATTGTGCTGATGTGCTTTGAAACCACATACATACATACATACATACATACATACATACATACATACATACATACATACATACATACATACATACATACATACATACATACATACATACATACATACAAGACATTTAATTAAAGAGGGGCAACACACACACTTCACCCCATTACAACCATATAGAGAGTATTGTGCTGATGTGGTTTGAAACCACATACATACATACATACATACATACATACATACATACATACATACATACATACATACATACATACATACATACATACATACATGCATGCATGCATGCATGCATGCATGCATGCATGCATGCATGCATACATACATACATACATACATACATACATACATACATACATACATACATACATACATACATACATACATACATACATATATACAAGACATTTAATTAAAGAGGGGCAACACACCCCATTACAACCATATAGTGAGTATTGTGCTGATGTGCTTTGAAACCACATACATACATACATACATACATACATACATACATACATACATACATACATACATACATACATACATACAAGACATTTAATTAAAGAGGGGCAACACACACACTTCACCCCATTACAACCATATAGAGAGTATTGTGCTGATGTGGTTTGAAACCACATACATACATACATACATACATACATACATACATACATACATACATACATACATACATACATACATACATGCATGCATGCATGCATGCATGCATGCATGCATGCATGCATGCATGCATGCATGCATGCATGCATGCATGCATACATACATACATACATACATACATACATACATACATACATACATACATACATACATACATACATACATACATACAAGACATTTAATTAAAGAGGGGCAATACACACATGTCACCCAATTACATCCATATAGAGAGTATTGTGCTGATGTGCTTTGGAACCACATACATACATAGATACATACATACATACACACATACATACATACATACATACATACATACATACATACATACATACATACATACATACATACATACATACATACATACATACATACATACATGCATGCATACACATGCATACATACATACATACATACATACATACATACATACATACATACATACATACATACATACATACATACATACATACATACATGCATGCATGCATGCATGCATGCATGCATGCATACATACATACATACATACATACATACATACATACATACATACATACATACATACATACATACATACATACATACATACATACATACATACATACATACATACATAGATACATGCATGCATGCATGCATGCATGCATGCATGCATACATACATACATACATACATACATACATACATACATACATACATACATACATACATACATACATGCATACATGCATACATGCATACATGCATACATGCATACATGCATACATACATACATACATACATGCATACATGCATACATGCATACATGCATACATACATACATACATACATACATACATACATACATACATACATACATACATACATACAAGACATTTAAGTGGCATCTTATGAATCCCTTCAAGCTGGCCAGTAAGTGTGTATAAGCATTTCTGTTTAATTGTAGAATGATGGATGATATTATTATTGAACACTGATCATTTTAAAGTGAAAGCCTCCTTTGGTGTCTAAATACAAAAAGTGAACTTTAAACTGACCCCCAATTGGTATGGCAAATTTGTTTCATCCTACACTGTATGCTGACAGAACAAATAGAAATACAGTGTCATAATAGATTGTAAAAATGACTGACAGAAATTACACACATACAGCAAAGACTATAGAAATGAACAGTTCCATTTATGTATGTCCAAATGTTATTCACTGAATTATACCTTACTGTCACTCATACCATAATTTCTATCTTTTTTAATTTGTGATTTTCTGAAATATTCAATCAGGATTTCTATTTTAAAAATTTTGAGATAACTTTTTCCCACCCCACATCTGTAAATCAAATTTTGATATTGCCAAATCACCATAGAACTATAAAATAAATGTCACAAACAAGCATCAAGTTGGTCAAACAGCATTATCAGTATGAACACAATGTATACAGTGGGAGGTTTTAAAATAAAATGTAAGGGACAGTTTTCACATACTGACACGAGTTACTGGTGTCAGAGGAGTTGTGGCCCCTTTGACTTTCCTGTAATTGGATTCCTGGAAGCACTAATCATCATCCAACATTCTTCTCCTACTTCTGGCTCAAGCAGCTGGTATTGCTTGGTGGTGGACACATCAAACTGTCAGCAAGCAAGCTAAATAAATGTCAGTCTTTTTATATACTGACTTGAGGAACTTCAAAAGCACAAAGTCGAACCAGCAGAAAAGATAGATGCTTCCCAGTAGCTACAGTTGCAGAAGACAACTTGGGTTTTCCAACTCCAGATGACATGGGTCAACAGCTACACTGCTTCATTGATGGGTTACCTCAGGAGAGATGAAGGCTAAGGGATTAAATCCAAATAAGATAATCTTGAATGGACCCCTTAAAGCAATCTGTTGTCAAAATAGATGTCTCTATGGCAACTCATGCATCTGAACTGGCTCCAGACTGTATCAGTTCCACATTCCCATTGGACTCTACCAGCGACACTGAGAGGTGGCCTGACTCTTGGACAATTTAAGGTCTCCATATTAACCTAGTCAGGCTAGTACCCAGGAGAGGTGAGGCCAAGCATGTTTTCCTTGCCAACTACAAGAGTGCTCCAAACTTGAAAATTTTCAAGAAATCAGAACTTCAAGAAGGAATGGTCAACAAACTGCAAGACTAATTGCCTATGATGTCTGCTTGATCATATATAAAAGTGGTGACAATATGATGTCAGAAATGACCACAACAAAAACCATCTTGAAAAAAACCTTGATATTGCTGTTGCTTAAATTGCCATGGAGTTTTCACCAGACTTCTTATGATAAAAATGGTGCTTATATAATGGCTAATATGGCGGCAAACAGAGGCCATCTTAGAAATTTTGGTATTGCTAATTCTTCTGAATTAAAATTAATATTGCTAAGGGCTTTTCACCAGATAATTGGTCCAAAATGGAAACAATATCAATCAGATTTCCTGTATGACCACAACAATCTCCATCTTGAAAAACACTGTTATCACTAATCTCCTCATCAGTGGATTGTTGTACAGCAGAACCTGTCTTGAAAGACAACCCTTCAGCCACATAATAATGGTCTCTCAAAACAAGTGGTCTCTCATGACAGGCCATAACACTATATAATCAATAAATCTGTACATAGAGAACCTGGTCTCTCAAGACAGATGGTCTTTCATAGCAGTGGTCTCACAAGATAGGATTTATTGTATCAAGATCAATATTTTACTATATAATTTCTTATGATGTCTAGTTGGTCTTAATGGTACCATTCCGTTATTCAAAATGCCTGCCACAGTGGTCATCTTGCCATTCAGTCATTCAAAATGCCTGCCACAGTGGCCATCTTGCCATTCAGTCATTCAAAATGCCTGCCACAGTGGTCATCTTGCCATTCAGTCATTCAAAATGCCTGCCACAGTGGTCATCTTGCCATTCAGTCATTCAAAATGCCTGCCACAGTGGTCATCTTGCCATTCAGTCATTCAAAATGCCTGCCACAGTGGCCATCTTGCCAATCTTGTTAAGATTTCTTTTATGGATGATCATATCATATAGGGTTTTCAATGAAAGATAATTTTATGTCTAGTTAGTTATTAATGAAAATGATACTGATTCATCTTATAATATGACTGCCACAATGGCCATTTTGAAAATCTCGTTATCACTACTTCTCCTTGATGGCTTTTCATATTGACATTGTGCTTAACCAAATGGCTTTTTATGATGCTTGCTATGATACAGTAAAATCTGTCTTGTGAGACCACTGCTATGAAAGACCACCTGTCTTATTTATTGAAGGTATCTCAATTTAACATTACTATTAAATTGAGTTACCTTTTATAAATAAAATATTGAGTCCTTTCTGCTTAAAATGTGTAAAAGTTATATACAATATTTACAACATTACAATATAATACATTGTCTGTGACTTATTAACCTGATGCTGCTAAATGTGTGACAAAATTTTAAAAATAACTTTAGGTTATCACTATTTATTTATGTATCTACTAGTCTATCATATTTTCCTTCACTGTCAGCTTGCATCAACATTTTTACCATATATATATGTAAGTCAAGCCCACCTATGAACAACATAGACCCTGAACTGCCATTGCATAACACACCTGCAGATATGGGTCTTTGTTCTTTTTTCTACGGATTGCCACTGACCCAGATCTGAAGGTACATTATGCAATGGTAGATCTATGTCTCTGCAACTTGGAGTAGGCCTTGAATTATGAGTGGGTGTTTATGGTACCTCCCTTTGTAAGCCATGTGTTTTAAACATTTCGGGGGACCATCAATAAATGTTATTGTAATGATAAAAAAATTTTGTATGTTTTGCCTCAGCACATAACCGCTCCAGTGGCCTAGTGGTTAGAGTGTCTCTCCTGGATTCGGGAGGTCATGGGTTCGATCCCCAGTCGAGTCTTACCAAAAACTTACAAAAGTGGTACTAACAGCTTCCTCGTTTTGTGCTCAGCATTAAGAGGTTAGTGTTAGGACTGGTCAGCCTAATGTCAGGATAATGTGACTGGGTGGGACATCATGCTACATGACTGCAGCATGATGCCCCAGTGTTAGACATCACTGTTACTACCACACTGCAGACATCGAAACTATGACTGAAAAATTGGTAAAGCTATGTCAAAAATCATGTTCATGTCACATCACATCACATCACATCACATCACATCACATCACATCACATCACATCACATCACATCACATCACATCACATCACATCACATCACATCACATCATATCACATTGCCTCAGTACATTTTGTCATGGTCAGCATGACATGTGACAATTAACTTTGATGTAATGGCTAACTTAACAGTAAAATTGATGCCTGTGAAAGATTGGATATGCTCTGTTTGGGTGCATGATTGGATTTTTATTAAGACCAGCTAGGATAACATTCCAACAGAGATGGTAACATAGGGTCAAGTAGAGGAAAATGGCAAAAGTAACAATAGTTTGTGCCATTTTAAAATAACTGTCTTAAAATTAAATTTTCCATATTAGTCATTAATAAAAGTGGACTAGAGAGAATTATTCTGACTTTGATGGGAGTGTTACAATTTGGGTGGTTAGATAAAGTTAGTCTTGACTGGCTAGCCAAATGAGAGGGTGTGTGTTCCCAGATGAAATTCAAGGTTTTAATAGATCTCTTTTGCAAATTAGTCAGTGCAAGTTTTTCTGCCAAAAGGGAAGTCTGAAGGAAATTAAAATGTAATTTTTCTCAGTAAATAAATCATTAAAAAGGATATGGGTCTGCAAGAATTAGTGCGACCCAGAAACAGAGAGATTTGGCTGAATAGAAAGATCAAGCCTTGAAAGGTCACAAAGCTATTGTCTCAATCACATACAATATGCTAATTCATGTAAATTTGTAATTATTTGTTGAATTGATTTGTTTTAAATTCATGCTTGAATTAAAGTTAATCATGCAATCATTTATTGAATGTTACATAATTTATGCAATGTAAGAATGTCATACAATATTTCATTGATATGAATAAGTTTGGATCTAGTGGTTTGTATGTTATAGAAATCATGTATTGTAGGAATTTCATGCATTACCCTGATACAAAGTATGGGAATTAATTTATCAGTCTTAAATAATTTGTAGCATATATGTGAAGAATTGATTTTAAAATATCTATGTCAATAAATCACTAATTAGTAAGTAATTTTGTTAAGATGATATAAAGTCCATTAATTCACTTGCATTATTTAGTTATGTATTCTCTTAACCAAGAAAATTGGCATGTGTTGACCAACCTCATTCAGCTAGCAATTTAGAGTCCACATTGGGATGCATTAGTTTATCTAAGTGGTATAGTTCTGTTATTGGTCCAGTTAGGATTACAGCTAGCAGCTAAGGGAAGAGGCATTGATTTGATGATAATAGGTTGTGTGTATCAGGTGAACTTACCACATTAGCTTAGTTCTACTGAATTGTGATTAGATGATATTTGATGTAAAAAGGGTGGGAATATCTTTTGATTTTAGGAAAAGGTAAACCTGACAAATATTTAGATTGCATATTAAATATATTTGAAGCTCCATACCTGTGTTACATGGGGGAAGAAGTGCTGACAAGCCAAATTATGGTTGATAACCTAAAGAGGTTGGAGAGAGAGAGAGAGAGAGAGAGAGAGAGAGAGAGAGAGAGAGAGAGAGAGAGAGAGAGAGAGAGAGAGAGAGAGAGAGAGAGAGAGAGAGAGAGAGAGAGATGGCAATGCTGACCTGTCTTCAACAGTGATTGACACTGATTTATAAAGGACTGGCAGCAATCAGGTTATGCTGTCATGCCAGCAATTTGAGCTTGATCATTCATCTGATTCTAAGATTGGCTAATTTCTTATTAATTTTGTAATTCTGTTTCTAAGAGAAAGTGTATCATTCAAATATCATGTTCAATTCATTTTGTTTATGTAATTGATTAAATTGTTATATTTTACATATTGGGGCTCATGTTGTTCTATGCTATAACTTTCCTATGTTATGCCATTCATTAATTTCTATTGTTTTGTATTGTTTGCTCAATCCAGGCAATAGGCAATAATTTTTTGATCAATAATCTTCTAGAACAATAACTGAAGTACCATAACAAGTGGGGTATGATATCATCCATCTCCCACACACTTATCATTGACCTTGTCTCAACAGTCATTAGTCATTCATATTCATTCCAAGAGGTTATTCTTTGTAATTTCATCTCTTTTAATTTTACACTAATAAACATAAATTTGAAAAGCTGGTTTGATTTTTATTTTTTTTAAATTTGTTTTAATAAATGCATCTTTTTAGTCCTCTGTGATCATGTGAATTTTATTTTAACATTAGT